CATGGTCTTCACACGGGGGCTCTTAGGTCGTCTGTTCTGACATTTTCCCCTCTGACTGCCTCTCAGTGCCTCTGTTAATTCAAACACAAGCACCTGCTTCTAGATTTGCACAGCACTTTTAACAAATTTTCTCCCTACCACAAACATTTGTTGATCCCAGTAATTGAAACAGTGGTTCTACACCCTACGCCAAACTTTCTTCTTGTTACTTGTGCAGTGGGATAACTTACAGAGACATTTACCTGGTGTTTGTTTTGGCTCCTAAAGCAAACACACCGAGAACAAGTACCATCTTGGTGTCCTCCCCCACCTTTCCTAGAAGGCTCTAGCACTGCTTGAATTAGGTATTTGGGTGAGACAGGGTCTCAGCATGTCACTCTGATTGGCCTAGGACTCTCTATGGAGACCAGGCTAGACTCGAACTCACAGAGATCCCCTTGTCTCTGTCTCCAAAATGCTAGGATTAAAGTTTTCACCACCACCACCTGGCTTTGCATCAGGTATTTGAAGAGCTGAAAGAAGAACAATCCCTTCCTGCCTCAAAGTTTTGAGAATTCCAAGCAAGCATGTTCTCTGGCAGGGAAGAGCCTGGAGAGGAGGGGTTAGAAGAGTGTAGTTCACAAACTCAGCTGGGTCCAGTATTGTGTGTGTGTGAGGGGTGGTCTCAGGTTCTTTAGGAGGAGGCCCTCTTGGCCTAGAAAGCTTGGATCCCAGCACTGGAGTTCTAGAATGTGCAGGACTTTGAACACAAGCATGTCATCCAAAGAGTGAGCACTTTGAATGATTTTTAACTTTAACTGTGTGTGTTCTTGTGGGTAAATATATGTATGCAGGTGTGCATGCATGTGTATATATGTGTATATGTGTGTGTGTGTATGTGTGTGTGTGAGTGTATGTGTGTGTATGTGTGTGTGTATGTGTGTGTGTATGTGTGTGTGTATGTGTGTGTATGTGTGTGTATGTGTGTGTGTGTATGTGTGTGTATGTGTGATGTGTGTGTGTATGTGTGTATGTGTGTGTATGTGTGTGTGTATGTGTGTATATGTGTGTGTGTATGTGTGTGTATGAGTGTGTATGTGTGTGTGTGTATGTGTGTGTGTATGAGTGTGTATGTGTGTGTGTATGTGTATGTGTGTGTATGTGTGTGTATGTATGTGTGTGTATGTGTGTGTGTATGTGTGTGTGTATGTGTGTGTGTGTATGTGTGTGTGTGTGTGTGTGTGTGTGTGTGCATGTGGAAGCCAGAGTCAACCTCAGGTGTTGTTCCTCAGAAGCTGCCTGACTTGTTTTCTGAGTCAGGCCCTCTCATTGGTTAGCCTGGAGCCCCCTGGTTAGATGAGGCCAGCTGGCCAGCAAGCTCCAGAGATCCAACTGTCTTGGCCTCCCAGGGCTGAAGCCCAAGCCCACATCACCACCACTGGTGTCTTATGTGGGCACTGGGGAATCATACCCCGGGTTTCACACTTAACATGTTTTACCACCTTGAGCTATCTCCCCAGTGCCTTAATTCTAATATATTAATTATGTATTAATAATATTATCGTTAATTAATTAATAATATTATTAATGTTAATGTATTATATTAATACACTAATATGTTTTTATAGACTTTCCAGAAAGGAACTCACACCTATCCATGTTATCACGATGTAGAGAGAGATTCCATCACCCTCCAGAGTTCCCCCATTTTCCCATCAACTGTTACAGATATTTGCATTGGTATGGATCTTGGTTTATTGATACAAATTTAAGGTCAATTTTGTTAGATGCATATTTCTGCTTTTGATTAAGGTATTGTGTTTGTGCAGCTCATTTAAAAATATAATGTATAATTAAGAAATATAGGTTAGTAGATAATCATCTATGATAGTCAAGCTTGTAGTCATGTTTGTTAAGTTTTCCAGATATATAGAGGTATATTTCAGTTAATTAGGTATTCTTCAAATCTTTCAGAGACCTTCAGAATATGGTATTTAAATGTTTTAAGAACTTAGAACTTTTAATGACAATGAGACACGTCTGCTCCTGGCAGCATCAATCTACTTCAAGAGGAAGATGGGCATCAAAGAGGCTCCTCATGGAGTTGGTTAGCCATTGGGCAGGAAACTGCTCTTGCCCCAGACTGCTTGATGTTGTGCTGTGTGGACTGAGCATGCAGGACCCACAGAAAAATGGCTGCTGAAGTTTTCTAGAGAAGGTGAGATGATCCTTCTGGGTTCAGGCTTCATGGAAGAATCTTGCCAGACATTTTGCAGGACACAGAAGAAAGTGACTGTCAAATTGCCAATATCCGTGGAACTGTCTTTGAAATTTCCTGCTTCATGGAAAAGTCTGCTGAATACTATGGGCCTGTAGGCTGAAGACTGGATGCCCCAACAGCACAAAATAACTTTGGGCAACTGTCCAGGCAGCAAGGTGTCTCTGTCAATTCTAGAGTTTTGGAAGTTGCTTACAATGTACTTCCTGTTTACTTAGGTAGTATTATATCTTTCTGGAGTCTTTGATGGAGTTGAAGAATAAATAGCTATAGTTTTCCTTAGATATGATAAAAGATAAAGTAGATATCTTTGTGTGTGGGTGGGTGGGTGTATGTATGTATTACATTTAATTTCTGTAGAATTATGTAAGGTTTCTTATCCAGACATGAGATTTCTGGGTCATATGGTAAAAACATGCTCAACTCTGCACAAAAAAAAAAAAATGTCACACACTTTTGAGAATACCTGCACAGCCGCCAGTCACGCGTGAGAAGTCTGGCCACTCTGAATTTCTCCAGCGTTTGTTATCATCGGTATTTGTTTTATTGCAGTCTTTATGCTAGCATAAAGCGCTATCTCCTAGAGGTTTTCATTGTAGAGCCTCAATAAAGCCCTGAGATATAACGTCTATCGATGCCTCTTCTGGTGACTTTGTCATTGGAAGCTAGTGTCTAACAGCAGAAACAGGTCACATGTTTGTTTTCTCAGATGTTTTGTTGTCATGACTACTGCGATGGAGAGTGTAAAGAAAAGGCCTGTGATGACAAGGAATGAAATTCTTTTATAACGGAATAATACATTAGCATACAAGATGTCTGAGTTCGATTTCTTTTTTTTTTTTTTTCGTTTTTTTCGAGACAGGGTTTCTCTGTAGCTTTGGAGCCTGTCGTGGAAGTAGCTCTTGTAGACCAGGCTGGCCTCAAACTCACAGAGATCCGCCTGCCTCTGCCTCCCGAGTGCTGGGATTAAAGGCGTGCGCCACCACTGCCTGGCTGTGAGTCCAATTTCAAAAGAAGCAACTCGGCAATTCTTACAGTTTCCAAGTGTAGAAGGCCACGCCCCTTCCTTTTCCGGTACAGAGGCTTCAAGTCCATGCTATCTGGTACCCTTCCGTAATGCTCCTCACAGAGCGCTTCTGTCTTCTACAGTGAAACAGAATCATAACTGTTGTTCTTTCCTGAGTTCGAGTCGTCACTGTATTAAGTGGCTGAACTAAAGGCCGTCATGAGGAGCCCCTGGAAGGGCAGTGTGTCCGTCAGGTGGGAACTCTGCTTGTCTGGGAGGGGACGAAGTCGGTTACTTGTGGAGATGTACAGGAAGTTACTGTGGGTGTTCAGCACTGGCACTGAATCGCCGTCTACCTGGGGTTGGTACAGGCGACACTACGGACCCCTGGCTGTGGTGCCAGGATACAGGTTGCAGTTCCTCTTCTGCCATGCCTTCTCCGCTGCTACACTACTCCGAGTTATCAGTGCAGAGTCTTGTGACTGTACAAGAACCTGTCTGGATGTGTTTGTGTGACGTCCGAGGAAGGGGGAACCCTGGCTGGCTTGCTGGGGGACACAGGTGATAAGGCTTTACCCCTTGGTTCCGTTTGCTTTGCCTTGTCTTTCTCGGTAGCACCCAGGCCTAGGCAAGCTTCCTCCTCCACTGAACAGAGGCGCTGACATTTCTTCCTGCTCTTTCATCCTTCGGGAAACAAAGAGGGCTGCGTTTTACAGTAGCTCGGTTGTGGAACCAACCTAGGTGTCTCTGATGAGTGTGGCCTGCTTGTTAGATGTGTAAAAACAGTGTCTTCAGGATCCTTATTACACAGAGGCTGTAACTGATAATCAGAACCCAGTGACACCACTTACTCAGGACCACCAGACACAGGTCTAGACTCCCGTGACATCGCTGGGCAGTCTATACAGAGACCAAGAGCAGTGCTCTGCTCTGCACATCTGCAGAGACGCCCCCTTGATCTGCTCCACGGCTGGAGAGGTCCTCCCCCACCCCCCATCCTGACCCTCAAATCGGAGGCTTGGACCTGACCTTCAGCTAAGATTCGTGCTGTCTCTGATTGAGGCTGGACCTGACCTTCAGCTAAGATTCGTCGCACAGGTGAGCAGCCTTGGGGAGATAGGCTTAGGGCCATAGTTAGGAATTTAGAGTATGAACCTTATGTGATGACTATCAGCATAACAAAATATAACTTCTGTTATATCAAGTGACATATCTGCCTTCTCGCTAGCAACAGCATCCAGCAACAGAGGAACAGGCAGTGAAAATGTGATTAATACATTAAAAAAAATGAATGTATCCATTGTCAAGGAAAGAAAACTGGACTGAACAAGAGATAGTATTAAGAAAGACCGATGTCACACTTATGACTCATTGGTGGGTCCCCAGTTTCATAAGAAACAGGAAGGATGTAGGTTGTAGAAAAAGTACTGTATTTATCAAAGCAGATCCTATACATAGGGACGATGTTAAAATCACAATGAAACTGTTAGATTTGGGGAAAAGCTTGGCCCAAGCCACCTTAGTTTTTGAGGGCAGAGACTGTAGATAGTTTCGGGCCTTCATGTTGATGATACAATTAAGGTCCTCCTGGGATGGGGAGCCCAAGATACCTAGAATGTGGTTGAGCTGGTCCAGGTAATGCTTGCCAGGGAAGATGGGCTGGAGAGCATCTCAGCCAGAATGCAGCCCACAGACCAGATGTCAATGGATTTGTTGAAGCCCTTGGAGTTAAGCAAAGGGGACTCATGGAAGGGAGAGGTAAAAAGGAGGAGAGGAGTGTGGTGTGGGGGATGGTACTCAGAGTATGCTTGTATACACACTTGAAATGATGCTACAGAACCTGGTATGATGGTGTTGGGGATGTACTCAGAGTACACTGGTATACACGCTTGAAATGATGCTACAGAACCTGGTGCAATACCACAATCATTCTTAAAAGAAAGAACAGTCCCTGGGGCCAGTGTCTTCATGTGGATCCTGTTTTGCTTTGCAGAGAAAGCCTGATCGGGCTGCTGGACCTCCACTTCAGGTCGCCTCTGGCCATGGGAAGCCCCTCACTGCGGACTTTTTGAGGGTGAGTTCACTGCCTGCTTGCTCCCCTCTGCTTCTCCTCTTTGCCCTTGGCCTGTTGTTCCAGGTAGGGTGACCACAACACTAGGTTCCTTTAGGAAAACGGGTGGGTGATCAAGGAGTGCTCCCTAATATGCCGCGTGCATCCCGGGTGAGGCTGTCAGTGTTAAAGGTTCCATATTTCTGAGCCGTGAAGACTAAGGTGCCCAGCAGAAGCCTTATGCATAGGCAAAGCTTCTCCAGGCACTGAAAAGCCATTTAAATGTCTGGGAACTTATCTCTGCGGTGAAGGCTGCACCTTCTTATGTCTGTTGAACCTAAGGAAAGTACTCCAAATCCTCCCTGGCATTTGCCTTGCAGGCTCTTGGGGGGGGGGGGGGGTGATGGGCCATGGCGTGCTCAGAGCTCCTTGGAGCCGAGGGTAACACTTGTGTAAATCTATTATTATTGCCATTAGGAGTGTGTGTGTGGCGGGGGGGGGGGGGGGGAGAGAATTAAATGCTAAACACCAAAATCACTGGAATCCGTAAGGAGAACGTAAAAGTGGGCCCAGGAAGTCCCCCACTTCAATTAAATTAAATGACCACATAACGCTGCGTTCTAATCCTGTGTGCATAAATTAACATAAAAACAAAATGACATAAAACTGCCGGCGTCAGCAGGAAATTGAGGGGCCATTAGTCACTACCCTGTGGAAGCCCCTCTCATTGTGATTCAGTGCCCAAGATCTTGACAACCGCAGAATGCTTAGCGGTTTGTGGGTAAAACTGTGGCTCCCACGCTGCCTTTTAGACTCTCTATCCAACTCCAGGCTCAGTTTTCCCTCTACTGGGATGCTGGTGCCTGGGACCTGTCCTCTCCGTGGTCTCTCTACTTAGGAGGTTCCCAGGATGCTGCAAAGCTCTAGTCCTTAGTTGGTCTTTGACTGAGAAGGAGACTGGTCATGACTAGCCTGTGCTGCCTCCTGGCTCCCAGTTCCTGGGTGACTGGTTCCCCTTGGGTCTGGTGGGCGACACACACGGGAGCTATTTCAGGTGGGATTCTGAACTACAGTGTTCTGTGACATGTGTGAACAGATGTGTTTTGGATCGTGTAGTAGTGTGCCCTTTCATGCAGTCTCCTGAAGAGAAATCTTGGGTTTCTTATTAAGACACTCTCATGGAGAGAGAACAAAATGGACCGTGTCTAGGCTTGCCAGTATCGCAGAGGAAGGTAGTAGCATCCTGATTTTCAAACTAGCATTTAGCAACATAGCGAGAGTTATAACCGGAGCACTACAGAAGTTCAGGCATGCCCTTTGTGTTCGGGTAACCATGGCAACAGCAGTGTGCTCACCTGTTTTCAGAAGTGGCCAGGAGGCCTCCTGGTGACTCATCCTCAGGGAGGAGCAGACAGGGATGCGCAGGGCCTGCTCTACACAGGGCCTGCTCTAAGGAAGGCAGATGGTTCTAAATGGGGCACCAGGTTGTTTCTCTGCAGCATCTCTGGTGAGCCTCATGCTAGCGTCTGTGACCTCCGTGCCTGTGGGAGTTTGAGAATGACCTTTATCAGCTAATATACTCAAATGTTTGGTCCCTCCTTGGTGGAACTGTTTGGGAAGGATTTGGAGGCATGGCCTTGTTGGAGGAGGTTTAGCACTGAGGTGGGCTTCGAGGTTTCCGAAGCCCTACCATTCCCGGTTAATTCTCTCAGTGTTTCTTGTGGTTGTTGTCTCAGCACGTAAGCTCTCAGCTACTGCTCCGAGCATGCCTGCTGTCTGCTGCAATGCTTCACACCATGTTGGTCATGGGCTCCACTGTCCTTTGGAACCGCGAGACCTAAATTAAATGCTTTCTTTAATAAATCACCTTAGCCACAGTGCTTGGTCCCAGCAGCTGGAAAGTAACTAAGATAGTTTCCAAACTGTTGAGAGGTCCTCTAAGGGATCAGCGCCACACGGACAGAGGCACCCTCATGTCCCTTTGGCACCAACTGCTGCTGTGGACCCAGCTAGATGATGCTGTGCAGGCGTCCACTGGGCCCCAATCTGTGTGCCCAGCTGTAACTGAACCTTGCAGACTCACAGAAATGTTCGTGAAGCCAATGCTCAGAGACGAAGGGTCCGTGGACCACTGTCTAAGAGCTCCGAATTATTCAGCACTCATCGACCTGGTAGTGCTTGAGACATCTGGAGTGCACAGATGTGTAGTTTATACGCTCGGTTTTACCTCTGGATTCTTCAGTGAGTTATCATGAAGCATCTGTGATGCCTGGTACTCAGCCAGGCTCTGATATTATAGGTCTCCAAGCATAATAGCCATTAGACAGTTGTCTCTAATAAAGGATTATCAGTACCCAACTCTGACAGTGATACTAGGAGGAAGAGGAGTCTGGTGACAGCTGTCATTGGTGGATATCACTTTCTGTGTATGCAGTGTGTTAGGTATAAAGAATATATCATTACTAATCTATAACCACTAATCTATGAGACAGTGTGAAATACCCACCCCAAAGACATATCAGGTTACACAGTGGAGCCGCAGGAATCCAGATTTGAGTTCCCTGTTACACAGTGGGTTGTTTGATAGAAACACCTAGAATGCAGTGGGAAATGATGAGAAAAATCAATACGAACCTTTCAGACAAGTGCTCTGAGTGTGTGATCATTCAGGTCACACCAGAAGCCTGGACATGGGTTCCCCGTAGCAGCCCTCACTCTTTCTTTCACTGGCAAGCAGAATTCTGAACACTTCAAAATATTGAACCGTTTCAGCAGCTTAAAAATGATGGTGATGAAACAGCCGTGATTCCATCTTGGTCTTTTGCCCAGTAGTGGGCAATGACAGATCAGCTGCAACCAGACTAACATACTTGTTACCTCTGATACGTAAGTCAGAGGTCATGTATATATGGCTTACGAGAGAGAGAGAGAGAGAGAGAGAGAGAGAGAGAGAAGAGAGAAATCATTTGGGTGAATAAAAATTGTCTAAATTGTGAGATTTCCTGCCTATTTTGTGTGTGTGTGTGTGTGTGTCTGTGTCTATGTGTGTGTTTAAGATGACCAAGATTAACATGCAAAACATTTCAGAGGAAGTAACAGGACTAGGAAGAAACTGCATGTTTACTCGTTAGACGTCAAAGTTCAGTCTACAGAGACGACAGCATCTTTGTTGCGATGACGTAAGTCAGTGCCAAGACAACTCAGCTTGCAACCCACATCTCAGGAGCACACTTATCTTCTCACGTGAAGCACACCTTTGCACAGACTGGCAGCACCCACCCAGCCCTGTCAGGAGAAATAACGGTGCTACCAATAGACACCTCCGAATTATCTCCAGCAGCGTAAGACATACTCAGGTGAAAACCCGAAAGTAAGAGGTACAGAGTCACTTACGATTTGCAGAGTGGAGGGAAACGTGCCCCATCCCTGAATGAACCACTCAGTGGCATCCCGTCCCCAGAATGACAAGACGTTTTCCGACACAAGTTTATTGCGACAGTGGTATCCTGTTTATGAGCTGTGTCTCCAAATTACTTGCTCTCTGAGAAACAAACATCTATCCCTCTAATGAAAGCTCTGGAAAAAGACATGCACTCTCATGTCATTTTGTTTAGGCAAATCAGCTGAGTGGTTTGCTGTCATTTCCCCTAGATGAAGCCTGTGTCATTATGGAACGTTTCCACCTCACGCTTTTGTAGCTCTCTCGGGCTCCTCACAGATTCTCCCCTCTCCTGCGCCTCCCCCAAATCAGGGTGGTTGAAATTCCACAGGAACAACACGTAAAGGAGCAGGTCTGTGACACCCCTACCTTCACCCCTTCCCTCCCCAAACCAAGTCAGGCTTACCAGAGAAATTCCAGGTATTCCTGCCAGTAACTTAGAGATATCTGACTTAAGTGCCTAATTTTAGGGTTCTGAGTGGAGCAGAGCCCTTGCGCTGTGAAAGACAGCCGTGTACTTTTATTGCGGGCCCCCCGCCATACCGTGCTATTAATTCATGCTTGATTATACATCACGCCTGCAATTCCGCTTCTCAGCACAAATGTGGGCCTCGACAAAAGCCCAGCGAGGGCTCCGTTCCTTCCCCCTCAATACATGTGCGCGGCTGCCATTAATTCTAATGCAACTTACCAGGCAGCAGAAATAGCCATACGTTCAAAAGATCACTACAACGACGACTTCTCGCGCTTTCTCATTTCAAAACATTAATTTTTTATAAAATGGGATTGTCTGCAGACAAAAATTCTCTTCATAATTTTCTCCCTAAGTAGACAAGCGAGAATGTGTCGCATCGTCGTTTCAGTCACTCCAAAGCCCGACTTCTCCTTGCAGATGAATTTACTTTTCATGTCTTGATTTATAAAGCAGCATAATCAACTTGCTCCAATAACTCCTGGCTTCATCTATGTGGACTATTAAATCAAAACAGCAAACACCAGCCGCTGATCGACCACAGAATTTCAGTCCTCACAGTTTGGGGGCTGACGTTTGAGATGGGGGCACAAAGGGGTGGTAGACTGCTCGCCTCTTGACTACATATGTGTGCGAGGCGTGCATGGCCCCCGCTTTTGCCCCTGCCATAATTCGAATGCGCACTGGGAAGGGTCATAGGTGGAACGCTCCGTGAAGGGGTAGAGCGCTGTTTGCTTCTCTTAGAGGGGCACAGAAAACCCGTGTCTCTAGCTATGCCTTTTTTCCCTGTTTTTTCAAGTCAGGGTTTCTCTGTGGCTTTGGAGCCTGTCCTGGAACTTGCTCTTGTAGACCAGACTGACCTCGAACTTACAGAGATCTGCCTGCCTCTGCCTCCCTAGTGCTGGGATTAAAGGCATGCGCCACCACCACCAGGCTCTAGCTATACCGTTTACAGCTGCGCATTAACAACTGATTTTAAACATTCCAGCTGTGATGGGGCAGAAGCAAGGCCCGTGCCTGTTTCATCCACCCCTGTTGCTTGGTAGACCCTGTGGGAAACCCTGCACCTGTCTGCCTCTTGATCTGTTCCTTGCTCTGCTGTGTCATGTGCAC